CATGGTGGGTGACTCCCTCCTGAGAAGCACAGAGGGGCCTATCTGTTGACCAGATCCCATGGCATGAGAGGTTTGCTGCCTACCCAAAGCCAGGATCCAGGACATCACGGCGAGGATTCCTGATCTCATCCAGCCCTCTGATTGCTATCCCATGGTCCTCATCCATGTGGGCACGAATGATGCGGCCAGGAGTAGTCCAGACTGCGTCATGAATGACTACAGGGCTCTGGAGGCCAGGCTTAGGAAGTCAGGGGCACAGGTGGTCTTCTCATCCATCCTTCCAGTCAGCAGTCACTGTTAGCATCAGGGAAGTCAACCAGTCATCCAGAGTTGGTGTCATCATGTGGGGTTTGTCTGCTATAAGCACAATCCACATTTCCATGAGAGGGGCATCATGGGATGATATGGTCTTCATCGCTCTTCTAAAGATAAGAGTCTGTTCTCTTAGAGGTTGGCTGATCTCCTCCGAAGGGCTTTAAACTATGTTCATCGAGGGATGGGGAAGTAGAGGATAAGGAGAACCTTGGATCAGCGAACCACAAGCAATGCACTAGATCAGTCCAGGTAAGCACTAAGGGGCCCAACAGACATCAGAAAAAGGGGTACCAAGGGCACCCATCACGGGGCTTAAATATCTCTACACTAATGCTAGGAGCATGGTGAACAAGCAGGAGGAACTTGCACTCCTGCTTGCAAGCAACAACTTTGACCTGGTTGAATTAACTGAAACCTGGTGGGACTCTAATCACAATTGGGCAGTAGGCATTGAGGGTTACAGGTTGTACAAACAGGATAGAGTGGGGAAAAATGGGGGGAGGTGTTTCTCTCTATGTTAAGGAGCAATATACATCCTCTATAATCAAGATGGGATCAGAAGAGGGTCAAACTGAGGTACTGTGGGTCAGGATACAAGGGGGTTGGGGGGAAAGGGACTTGGTAGTGGAGGTCTACTATAGACCGCCACACTGGGAGGATGAGCTAGACCTAGAATTCTCTAGACAGCTCTCAGAGGCCATACAGTTGAGAGATATGGTTGTCATGGATGACCTAAGTACCCTGACATCTGCTGGGAGGAGCAGTCAGCCAAATCTAACCACTCACGTAGGTTCTTAACCTGCATATTGGACCTCCACCTAACACAAGAGGTATACGATCGCGCTAGGGGAAACGCCTTGTTGGACTTGGTGTTAGTTACAGGGGATGACTTGGTGGGGAATCTGCAGATACAAGGTAACCCAGGGGATAGTGACCATCGATTGATTGAATTCACTATCCAGTGAAGAGTGGGTAAACTAACCAGCAGGGCTGAAGTGCTAGACTTCAGAAAGGCTATCTTCAGTGTGCTCAGGAGATTAGTTAGTGAGGCATTAAAGCTCAAGAGCATTGGCAAAATGGGAGGCCAGGAAGGGTGATCGTTCCTTAAGGGAGTGATCCTATGGGTGCAGGAGACAATCCCATTGTGCATAAAAGGGGGCAAAAGGGCCAAGAAGCCCTCTTGCCTGAACAGGGAATCCAGAAAAGCCTAAGGGCAAATAAAAAGGTATACAGACTGTGGAAACAGGGAGTAGCTAGCAAGGAGGAGTATACCTCCCTGGCTCGCACTTGCAGGGAATCAGGAAGGCCAAAGCAGGATTAGAACTTAGGCTGGTGACAAAAATTAAGGACAACAAAAAGTCCTTCTTCAGGTATATAGAGATCAAAAGGAAGGCGCAGGATAGCATGGGACCCCTACAAGACAAAGTAGGGCAATTGGTGACAGAGAGGGGGGACAAAGCTAAGCTCTTCAATGAGTTATTTTCATCTGTATTCCTAGACACAGACCAAGACAAAACTCCTAATTAGATCATAGAATAGACACAGGAGGGACACCAGCCCACCAACTGTTAGCACAGACTTAGTGAAAGGGCACTTGCGGGGGCTGGATGTGTTAAAATCAGCGGGCCCAGATGAACTTCATCCAAGGGTGCTGAAGGAATTGACCAGTGTAATAGCAGAGCGGCTGGCACAGCTGTTCAAGCACTCATGGTGCTCTGGTCAGGTCCTAGAGAACTGGAAAAGGGTCAATGTGGTCCCTATTTTCAAGAAGGGGAGGAGGGACGAACTGGGAAACTATAGGCCAGTTATTCTCACCTCTATCTTTGGGAAAACTCTGGAAAAAATCATTAAGGATCACATTTGTGGGAGCCCAGCAGGGGAAATAATGCCAAAAGGAAAACAGCATGGATGCATTGCAGGTAGATCCTGCCCGACTAACCTTGTTCCTTTTTATGACCAGGTTACAAAATGCTTAGACACAGGAGTCAAGGTAGATGTCATCTACCTGAACTTTAAGAAGGCCTTTGATACGGTATTGCATTCCGTTCTCATAAATAAACTGACAGGCTGTGATGTAGATGATTACATGGTCAGGTGGGTGGCAAATTGGCTTAGGGGTCTCACCCAGAGAGTGGTGGTGATTGGGTTGATATTGACCTGGAAAGATGTGAGCAGTGGAGTCCCGCAAGGCTCAGTTCTTGGACTGGTGCTATTCAATGTCTTCATCAGTGACTTGGAGGAGGGAGTAGAGAGCACCCTGTCCAAGTTTGCAGATGATACTAAATTATGGGGCAAAATTAACACAGTAGAGGATAGGGAACGGATCCAGGCAGATTGGGACAGGTTGGGAAAATGGGTAGAACGAAATAGGATGCAGCTCAACAAATACAAGTGCAAAGTGCTGCACCTGGGAAAAAAGAATCAGCAACACACAGGCTGAGGGATGACCTTCTCAGCAGCACAGCAGTGGAACAGGATCTTGGGAGTTATAGTTGACTCCAAGATGAACATGAGTCGTCAATGTGACAAAGTGATCAACAAGGCTAACTGCACTTTATCATGCGTTAGCAGATGCATGACGAACAGGTCCAGGGAGGTGATGTTCCCCTCTATGCAGCACTGGTCAGGCCGCAGTTGGAGTACTGCGTCCAGTTTTGGGAGCAGCACTTCAGGAGGGATATGGAGAATCTTGAGAGGGTCCAGAGGAGGGCCACTCATATGGTCAGAGGCCTGCAGGCAAGGCCCTATGAGGAGGAACTGAGGGACCTCACAAGAGAAGGCTGAGAGGTGATCTTATGGCTGCCTATAAATTCATCAGGGGAGGGCAGCAGGGAATAGGAGATGCTCTATTTACTAGGGCACCCCCTGGAGTATCTAGGAACAATGGCCACAAACTGACGGAGAGCAGATTTAGGTTGGACATTAGAAAGATCTTCTTCACAGTAAGGGTTGCCAGAATCTGGAATGGGCTTCCAAGGGAGGTGGTGCTCTCCCCTACCCTGGGGGTCTTCAAGAGGAGACTGGATAAGCATCTATTTGGGGCTGTCTGACCCCACCACTCTTTCCTGCCCAAGGAAGGGGGTCGGACTTGATGACCTACTGAGGTCCCTTCTGACCCTAACATCTATGAATCTATGAAAAGGGCCATGCCGCCCCTCTTCTAGCTAGAGAAAAGCAACCTCCCTGCAGTCCATGCCAATCTGACCATGGGGTAAAATTCCTGATCCCAAATGTGGTGATCAGTCTGATCCAGAGCAGAGGGACAAGACCCTCTAGCCAGAGACCTCCAGGTTTTAGTCCTAGCACGAGCGCTGGCATACCTCAGTTTAAATCCAATACTTCCAAAAAAGGCAAAAAAATCCCTGACACTTGTAGCAACAGTAGGGGGGAAAAACTTCCCTCCTGGCCCCAGGGGGCAAGCAGCAAAGCCAAGAAGTATGGGAAAACCAAAGACCCTCCATCCTGCTGTGCAACCTGGGGACAGCAAAGCTAACTCCACACATCATATTGTCTTATTGGCTCCCCTTTCTATATCCTCCCCATACATTTATCAGCTCTTTAATCTTCTTTCAAAGCTAAGCTAGTTGTGTATCTGTGTCATTCTCCTGCATCTGAGCATAGTCTTCTCTAATATCCACCTACTCTATGCTTCAGAGCTCTTATTATCTGCCAGAGATCCATGGGAGGTGAAGAGAGTCCTGGGGTTCTAACCACTGCTGTTTACAAGGCAAAGCTATTTGTAGGTCATCCCTGACCAAAGCTTATGTAGAAAGAAAGTTGCTCAGAATTTACCCCAGACTTTTCATGTGACAATGGATAAGTTAACTTACTTCCCTCTCTGTAACATGAAGGAACTTTTCTGCATATGGAGTTTTGCAAAGTGTCGATTCAGCTGTATGTAGCTTTTTGAATATTAGTGGGACGGGCGCGTTGTCTCAAGGTTGATCACTACAAAGACCTTCACACCTATCTTGGCAACTTCCCACCCCCATCTCACCTGCCACATCTTTGATGTAATGAGTAAGTTGGTTCTAGGTGAGAGGCTGCCCCTTTAATGCCCTAATACCTAGGGCACACTACATGACTCTGACCTTCCCTTATCATGTCCCATGCCTCACAGATGTTATACTGTTATCAACTCCAGGCACCACCTCAACGCCAAGCCCTCCAGCTCCTGTCTCTGCACCACTCAGGTGCCAGGTTTTCTGGTGTCTAGCTTTCTGGATCTCTCTCCCTGATGCCTGGCTCTGCCCCTTTCTCTGTCACCTGGCTCTCTGGCACACAGCTCAACATGCCCCTCATTCAGCTCTGCCCAGATCATGTGCCCCTTTCTCTGAGCACTTAGCCTTAGGTACCTTAGACTCCTGGAGCCTCACTGTTCTTGTAGGAAGCACCTAGTCTCAGGTAGCTCATTGGTGAAGAAGCTCTTTTCCTTGGCAGTTGCTAGAGAGAGAGAGCCCCTACTAGCTCCAACTCTGGGTTTATATCCCCAGGGCCCTGCCGCCTCCCACTAAGGGCTTACTGCAAAGCACTGAGCTTGAATGTGTGTCATAGAGGGGTGGCACTAGTACTCTTCTGGCACATGCAGTTCCTCTTACACAACTTCAGAGATCGCATACATGGATGGTAGGTTTTAATACAGACAAGCCTCATGGCAGTTCAGCATAGTTGTAGCTGTTACTTACACATTGAAGAGATTGTATTTGCTATAGCTCTCTGGTGGTCTGGGAACCAGAGGGCTGCCAGCTTAGTTGGAGAAAAAATGATGAGTGGCTGTGCCAGCGCACAGAGGGACTGTCCCACAAACAGGAAGAACCTGCCCACGATTCTATTTCTCAGGTAATTCATGATACTGAAAACCCGGATAACACAGCCAATCATGTTCAGCCAGGCACTGAGGATTATCTGCAACAAAGGAAGAAGGAGAGGAGTCACATAGTGAACTAGCTGTGGACTGAGAGGCTGAATTAAACTCTAAAATGGTGCATGACTCTAGGCCTCCCAACCTGTAGCTATTCTGTCTACAGAAAAAAGGCATTTATGCATCCATACTGGGCTGTGTGGATACCACTGGGTCATTTGCTGATTCCAACTCACAGTGCGCTTTGCTTGAGACTAGAGCTAATTACTGCACAGTAGACATCACCATTTACATATGCATTACACATGCTTACTGTGCAGTAATTTGCTTTAATGGCAAGTAAATTTGCTACCTGTAAATACAAGAAGCGAATTTACTCTCAATTAGATACTGCACAGTAGCGCATATGTAGATGCCTGACCAGGAACAAACATGCTTCCAGTAAGCCAGGCAGCAGGGGGAGGGAGATGGCTCCCTGCCCGTGGGAGCTGCCTGCTGCCAGGGCAGACTCCATCACCGGAGCCTGGGCAGGGACTATGTTCCCCTGCTCCAGCAGCAGGGAGCTCACAGCTCCTGATTCACAATTGGGAAGGAGGGCCTGGGACATCCTTATCCTTATAAGAGTCTCCCAGCTTGGGCCCCCTGACCACAGGGCTCCTGCAGGGAGAAAAGGATCTCCCAGCCCCGGCCCCATGATCACAGAGAGGAGGCTAGGAGTTCCCTGGTGCCAAGGCAAAGGGACATTGTCCCTGCCCAGGCTCCAGTGGCAGAGCCTGCCCAGGCAGCTCATGGAGGCAGAGAGCAATGTCCCAGTCCCTGCCAAGAGATAGCTGTCTCCTGGCCGCATGCCCCCTGTCGGCCCCTAGGTTAGCACATATACAGGAGCCTGGTGCAGGTCCTCAGGGAACAGAAGCAATCTGCTGCTAGGAGCAGCAAATCTGTTACTGCATCCCTGCACATGTAAACTTGTGCCCAGAGTTTACTCTAGAGTACTTTAGAGTAAATTGCTCCCAGATTATTTGCACATGTGAATGCATCTACACGTGATACTTTACTCCAGTTTTCTGCTGAGTAAGCAGTTTACTTTACTGCAGTTTTCTGCACATCTACATATGCACATGCTTACCATGAAGTAAACTGTGCTACTCACGAGTAAATTTGCTACCTGCAAATGCAAGTAGCAAATTTATTTGCGAGTAGTTACTGTGCAGCAGTGCATGTGTAGATACCAACCGGGAGCAAATTTGCTCCCAGTCAGCCCTGCCACTAGAGGGCCAGCCCCAGACTAATCCCAGGGCCATGGGGCTGGGAGCCTATCCTGCCTCAGGGCTAGGATGGCTCTATGGCAGCCCCAGTCCCAGGCCCTTAAAAGCCTACAAGGAGCCTGAGCCCTGGGGCTCATGTGCAGGAAGCCTGGGGTGACTGCTGGCCATTGCTTTCCCTACACAGGCCACAGGCCAGCTCTACCAGCCTGCCTGCACCCTGGCACTGCTCTATGGCACCATAGTGCCGCGCAGCTGTCAGGGCTGCGCCATCCAACCCTAGGGGATGCTCTAGGCTCCTGCAAGGATTGCCAGCACCCAGGCCCAGCTGCAGCCAACTCATGGACACTGGGGTCAGTTCCAGCTGGCCACAGCCAACCACCAGCAGCCTGCCCAGACCCTGCAGGTGCTGTGCGACATTGCCTTGCTGAACAGCTGCTAGTCTCATGCTGTGCCCCTGCGTGGAGGCCCAGAGAACCAGTGCAGGAGCCATGATGGCCTGATCGCCAACACCATATGCCATCTCCCGGATTCCCAACTGGTCACATGCAGTGTGGACTGGAGGAAACTGGAGAACTTGTTGTGCTGTGGGGTGAGGCAGAGGTGCAGAGGCAGTTCATGTGGGGCGGGCACTCTAATATGCATGTATATGAGGGGTTGAAAGTTAGTTTTAGTTAAACTGAATGTTGAATATACTGTGTCCACTCTGGCTGGGTAATGCTTTTGCAATCTTTTAGTGCCATAGGTGCATGACAACCCGACAGCTCCATGACCTCAGCCCCAGCCACAAGGTGCAGCTGGCCATGTCACCACCAGCTATCAGCAGCACCAGCTCCTCCCTGGGGCCCTATCCAGGCAGCTGCAAGCCGTGCCCCTCTTATTTACAAGTCTGCCAAGAGCTGCACATGGTCGCTGCCAGCCGGACTGACATAAGCCACCAGGCACGCCATACCCACCCATGTGGTAAGCCCTGCACTGGGCGGAGGGGGTGCTTCCAGCCCTGGCTCCTAGTCCCTGGCCCTTGCCTCAGCCTCACTTACCAGCCTGGCCACGCTCCTCTAGCCCATGGATTCCTTCCCCCACAGCACACAGGGAAGCAGGAGACCGTGTAAAACGTTATTGAGCAGCCTGTATCCCCATAGATAAGTGGGTACAGGTTTCTCACATGCCAAGGACTGTGTTGATGCTGGTGGTGATGTCCTCCTTGCCTGCAGGGGGCAGGGACATAGAGCACAGTCACAAGTAGCCCTCGAGATGGTGGTGGAGGTTGTGGGGCAGTGCAGGCTTGCCTGCCACACTGTCAAAACTCAGGGTCCTGTGCCAAGTGTGCATGTGCATCTGGGGCACCATGATCATAAGAAATGGCAGGGTGTAGTGGGTCAGGCATCCCTTGGTCCACGCAAACAGCAACTTGTGCTGCACCTAGGACACGTACAGCAGGGGCACGCTCAGGGCACATAGTGGCCAATGGAGGTGGTGGGGACTGGCCCCAGGATGCCTCTCCAGGGATGCCCCTGCAGGAAGGGCAGGGGTGTGGGCAGCTCCTTGTCCCAGTCATCCAGAAGCTCCATGCCTCCTGAGTCCAGGTGCCGTGGGCTTGGTGGCAGCACAGGAGACAGGCTAACCTGCAGGAGGAGAAGGGGGTAGAGTGGGTCTAGAGCCTTGGCAGCAGGAGCTGCCAGAAGCCGCCAGGAGCCTGGCATGTCCTGGCCTAGGAATGGGGTGGGGGAAGCAGGCTGCCTGCAGCCAGCACCCAGTGGCCCACTAGACCATGGGGAGCAAGTGGGGATAGGGGGCTCGGCCGGCAGTCACCTGGGCCCAGGCCTGTCCATACAACTTATCACGGTCCGTGGGCACCTGTGCATGCATGACCCCTGATCTGAGGCCAGACAAGGCACAGCCTCCTGGTACAGAGCATCTAATTTCAGATATGTTGCCAACTCTCATAAACAGCTTCTTTCTCATCGCTGTGCAGGTCCAACAGCTGCACATGGGGGAGAGGCAGCAGTTGGCAGTCAGGATGCACTGTCAGGGTCACCACCACCCATGGATGGGGCCCTCCAATGCAGCAGTTCCATAGGAAGAAGACCCAGGACTGGACCTTCCTTCTGGACTGGCTGGTGAACGCAGCAGAGGATGTCACCTGCCAGGACAGGTGGTGGATGGAGGCTTTCATCTGCCAGGACGTGCAGGACTGGAGTGAGGAAGTACGGGACCAATGCAAGGAAGTGCAGGACCAGGTAAACCAGGAATACAGGGTGCAGCTCCTGGCCTTGGAGGAGCAGCATGTGGAGATCCTGGAGCAGCAGGCTGTGCTCGTGGCCAGGGCAGTGGAAGCCATGGAGAACGACTGCAGGGTGCTGGACACCGTCACTGTCCTGGCAGTCACCTGCATACCACCCAATGCCCTGCCCCTGGAAGTAGTCCTGCCTGGCCTCTGACAGCTACCTGCCACCCAGCAGCAGTCCCCCACATGGGCCTGGGCAGAGGTCCAGCACTGCCTCCACTAGCCAGAAGCTCCTGTCCTGGTCCCCACCCTGGGTCCCTCACCATTAGCCCCCTTGCCTGGTCCCATCCCCATCACTTGCCCCAATTCTATGCAAGCGTACAGCAGGAGCTGCCTGCAACAGGGCCAGGACCACATGCCCACGCTGCTGGCCCTACCCATTGGCTACCACAGGGGGAGCCATGCATACTAGACTAGCGAGTGTGCACCCCACGTGTGGCAGGTGCAGAGATCCCACCTCAGGAACACAGCTGGGTATTCGTATCCCTCCGCTGTTTCCACCACATGAGGCGGGCCAGTAGGGGGTGCTCCTGCGTTGAGCCACCCACCTCCCTGCGCCCGACCACCTTCCAGGCCCGACCACCTTCCAGGCTCCGAGTGCCTCCCTAGGGGCACCTTATGTCTGGCCGACCCCTCTCCCGGAGCACACTCGCTAGTCTGGGGGTAACGTGCCGCCACCACCCCAAGAATGGACTGTCTCGCGGCCCTGTGTCCTTGGGGTAACACAGGCCTAAAGTCCCACGGGTACTCAACCCAGTACAGGCACTTGGGGTACTTCCCCAAGTCCGGGGGCAAAAAGGTATAGTCTCCCTTAGTCCACAGACCTAAGGGGTCTCTTAGGCATAATTTAGACCCACCCCTCAATAAGTCTCCCACACCAGTCAAAAAGGAGAACTTTATTGATTACAGGGGGTAGGGTAAACTAGGGTACAGGATAGAGCAATATCTAGAAATCCTAAAGAGCAAACAGTCTGGCTGTGGTAGCCTTTTGATTACGCATCTGTGATACCTTCAGCTAAATATCTAATCAGATTGAGTAGCTTACTCACAAGCATCTTCCAAAGGCAGGTGAAGTTTCCCTTTGGAGGCAGGCGGTTCCTAGCTCGTGAGTTTGGGGGGAGAGAGCCAGTTTCAGATGTTAAGGCTTCTCTGTCCCCTGCCTGGCTGCTGCGTCACCTCATGGCCGGAGAGGAGAGACCGCCTCCTTCCCCGTCCTAACTTATATAGCCCCTGTGACCTCATTCACCTGGGCCAGCGGAGGTCAGCCCCAGTTGGCTGTCAGCCAACCAATCTGAAATGCATCACCTGTTACCGGGCAGATTCCAGCTCCCCAGGTAGATGCCCCTCACCCAGGTACCAGTCACGTAGGCAGAGGGAGCAGGTTTCCCCCCTCCCTCAGGAATGCAGCCAGCTCAAGTTCCCTAAAGAGACAGGCTGAGGGTGTGGTCCCCTGTGTGCTGGGCCCATCCTAATTGAATGGTCACAGCACAGAGATTTAAATCACAGTGTCACAGGGCAGAGATTTTGGGGGAGAAACCAAGGTGGCTTTCTGCCACACAGCCTGTCCCCTACGTGCAGCTGCAGACCTTATAGAACCACGAAAAAGAAGCTATTTGTGTGAGCTTGCAATATTTCAGAGATAAGATGCTCTGTACCAGGGGCCATGCAGTGCCCAGCCTCAGATCGGGGGTCAGGTGTGTACGGCTGCCCGTTGACCATGGTAAGTCAGGCAGCCAGGCCCAGGCTCAAGCAGCCACTGGTCAAGCCCCCCCCATCCCCACTCACTCCCCTGGGGCCAGTGGCTTGCTAGGTGCTGCCCGCAGGCAGCCTGCTTTCCCCACTCTGTTTCCAGGGCAGGACAGGCCAAGCTCCTGGCAGCACCTGCTGCTGCGACTCCAGACCCCACTGCTCCCCCTCCTCCTGCAGGCCAACTGTTCCCAGGCTTGGGAGATGCAGGGCTCCCGGACTGGGATGAGGAGCTGCCAATGCTCCCACCTTCCCAGCAGAAGGCTTCTCCAGGGAGGAACCCTGGGGCCAGCCCCACCCTGCGCCACTACTATGTTCCAAGCATGCCCATGCTGCACGTGCCTCAGGCAGCATCGGGAGCTGTCTGCCTGGACCAAAGGGGTGCCTGACCCACTATGTCCTACTGCTGCTGAAGGCCAGATACCCTGGGTGCACCTGCACACCTGAAATGGGACCCTGAGTTTCAACATTGAGAGAGGCAAGCCCAGGCTGCCACACAACCTCCACTGCTGCCTGGAGGGCTCTCTGTGGCTGTGCTACATGGCCCTGCCCCCCACAGCCAGGGAGCACATCGCTACTGGCATTGGCGCATTCCTCAGCATGGGAGAGGCCCATACCTGCCTAGCTGCAGGGGCACAGGCTGCTCAATAGATTTTTGCACTGTCTCCTACCTTCCTATGTGCTGTGGGGGAAAGACCTGGGGCATGGGGAATGTGGCCAAGACAGGTGGGGAGGGGAGCACACGTAGGGGCTGGGGGCAGGGAGGGCCCTTCCCCCAGTTTAGGGCTTACCATGTAGCTGTGGCTGGTGGCTCCTCATGGTCATGTCTGTCAGCGACGGCATGCAGATCCAGGCAGTGTCCTCGGATGGCTGGGCACAGTGGGCAGGTACCCAGCCAGGGGGCCCTCCAGGGAGAAGTTGGTGCTGCCATCACGGGTCCTGTACTGGCTCTCTGGGACTCTGCATGGCTGACTGTGCTGTTGGGCCTGGGCAGCTGCATGAAGCACCCAACACAGGGGCCTGGCAAGGGACTGACAGCTGCACAGCAGAGCCAATGCCCTGCAGCACCTGCAAGCTGCTGGGGGTGGGCTGCAGGCAGGTGGAGCTGGCCCTAGCAACCAGAAGCTGCCTGCAGCTGGACCTGGGGTCTGGCAGGCATGGGTGGAGCCTGCAGCAGTCTGAATGGTGTGGGTCTGGCAGCCGCATGGCACTGGGTGCTAGGCAGTGGCACCAGGGTACAGGCAGGCTGGGACAGCTGGCCTGCAGCCTGCCTAGGGGCACACAGGGGCCCGGAGTGCACTCAGGCTCCCTGCTGGTGTGCCCCAGGGTCCAGAATGCCTGTGGGCTTTTAGGCCTGAGGCAAGGTCTGCTGTAGAGGCAGCCCAGCCCTAGGGCAGGCGAGGCTCCCAGCCCAAAGCTCTGGGGCGAGCCTGAGGCCAGTCCCCTAGTGACAGGGCTGACTTGGACCAAATTTGCTCCTGGGTTGTGTCTACATGTGTGTTACTGAGCAGTAACGAATCATGAGTAAATCCGATACCTGCATTTGCAGGTATCAAATTTATTTGCCATTAGGGGGTTTTACTGTGCACTTACTGCATAGTAAACTATGCTACCGCACAGTGAAGCATCTCATATAGATGCACCCAGAGAGTCCAAACATATTTTCTGTAATGTCTCAGAAACATTACAGGGCATTTCTTAGCCCGAAAATGCATAACTGTCCATCTCCTAGGAAGTACAAAGTTCATCATTTTACTAAATGGAGGATAGCCAACTTACTTCCCCAGCAGCCAGCATACAAGGCCAGGTATCCCGGGGGCTTAAATGAAGGGTTAGTATGAGAATAGGGGCATGTCTTCCTCAGAATAATTCAGCCTGCACGGGTGGCCAGACAGGCCAAACCCGGCAGTCAGTGAACCTTGGCTGCTGAGGCTGTTTCACCATGTTTACCTGTGGAATTTTATTCTGTCTACCTAAGTGGCTCCTTGTGGTGCTGGCATTCAGTTTGCAGCTTCCCACATGAGAGATGGGTTCAGAGGTGACCCTGGAACAGGTTTGGCTTGTTTACTGTATGTGAGATGAAAGGTCACTACAAATGTCTTGCTGCTTCTTTAGCCCCTGGCCCTGCCCCCTTGGCCTGAATCATGAATCCTTCAAGTTTCCCTTCTACCCTCACCGACTTCAGTCCTTTGAGTTGATCTAGTGATGGTGAATTGTCCTTGCCTGCTTACTATATTTGCGGCAAACAGAACAAGGAGTTAGCTCCCTGAGGGCAGGTGTATACTGGTTCCATGCTGTTCTTGAGAATGCTGCTGAAAACCAAGTCTACCAATCTTCTGCCACTCCAAATCCATTGTCAAGCACACCAGAGATAAGAGATCTCTATAGGAGAGCAAGGGACATCCCAGAGCATCCTCATCTGTCTCTGTTCCAGGTTTGGAGTACATAGAGTGCTGGGGCTTCTTTTCCAGCAACAACCTCAAGAGCAACACAGAACTAATGTAGGCATGTCCTCCTTTTTCTTATGAGCCCCAACAACATGGTACCAGAAGACAAGTGAGGTGGGATTTGGGGTCAGCAGCTGGGCATGTCCTATTATCCTAAACCCTTTGATAGCTTCAAGCAGTATGAAGAGGTCTTGGAAGCATAAGTGTGCTTTTTTCTCTCTGAAACACTCAGTTTGCATTTATTTTCATCTTTTATTTCATGACAGGACTTTCATCTGTGTGGCAGGGAGTGAGGAATGAGGGATAGAACCCTGAAACACAGCCCTGTAAACAAGCCTGCATGGGAACTAACAAGCAGGAGGGAGGAAACAGCCATGGGGCTACTGATAATGAGCCACTGACACCTGGGTAGAGTAATTAGTAGCCTGCCCTGGACTGCTTAAATGGATACTGAAAGGGAAAAAAGTGGGAGAACAGAGAGGATGGCTACCAGGTTAGGAGATTCCCTTCTGCAAGGAGATAATGAAACTGTAGTGGGAAGAGGCTTAAGGTTTACTCCAATGGAGGGAGGCACAGGAGAATCACAGCCTTAAAGAGACAGACACTCAAGTCAAAGGAGAAGACTTAAAGAGACAGGACATCATAATTATCCCAGGAAAGGGATCATATTTTCTTCTGTTCTGAGAGCTGGAGTGGGAGAAGGGACTAGAAAGAGAGGGAAGAGGAGGTTGCCACAAGAGCCCAGGCAGGCTCAGATACAGAGTAAGAGTGACAGAGCACACAGGAGTATAGAGTAAAAGGGCCTGAGAAGGCCCAGTGGGCAGCTGAACCAGGGCAAGTCAAGAAAGGTGCAGGACACAAGGTCCTGCCAAGAGAATTGAGAACACAGGAGACAGCAGAACAGAGAAGTCGGACTGGGTTGTCTGGACTGGGGATGAGTGAACTATGAAAGAGAAAATGGAGCACCATATTAACACCTGCATGAGCCGTAAGCAGTGTCCCTTCTCAAATTAACATCTACTAAGAACTAAATCATGTGGCAGGCACTAGATCAGAAGTGAACTTTGTTCAAGACAAGCTTCAGGGCAGAAAGAACAAGTGGGGTGGCACCTGTCCTGTGACAAGAGAAAGAGCTTTGACATCCAGTAGCCCACCAAACTACTGGTGGGCTGGATACAATGGTTCCACAGGCCATATGTTTGGCATCCCTAAACTATGGCATGTAACTTCATGAATTTTAAAGGCTAAACTAAGTGAACTCAAACAGATCTGCAGGTTGGCAATTTTGCATGCTATGATTTTAGACAGTTGTGTGACCTATTACCCACAAGAGAGAGGTAGCATTACCGGCCATGCAATAAATAAGACAAGTGCTCCAACAGCAAAAACTAAACTTGGGTATGACTGAAGGTTGTTACTTTGGACCACAAACCATCTTTAAGATGCTTCATGACAACTTGAGCCCAAAGAAGGGAAAGTAGCTAACTCACCTTGTTGAATTTCATCTTTTCTCACTGCTGACATTTAATTTCCTTTTAGAGCAGATTTTATTTATTACAAAAAGAGCTTTAACGTCTCATGTAAAGTTTAACGAGAATGCCATTTAAAAGCACTGACAAAAAGTGACTTGGATTCCAACCCACAAAGTACATGTTAATGCAAATGTCATCTTCACTTATTTTAAGCAGTCAGTGCAGTCCCTTGATCAAACTTACAGTGCATTTGAGTCCAGCAGTATCAAGAAGCCATGTGGCCACCAGTCCAAATGGAATGGATATCAGAAGATACAGTAAGGATAGCCAGTTAATGGTATCCAAAGATACGCTGAAATAGACTGCTGCTTGATCAGCCACTGGAGCGAACGTCAGCCACAACTGCGGGAGAAAAAACATGAAAGCTATTGTCAGGACTCCTGAACAACACTGGCATTTGTGGACAGAAACCCACACCCCAACACCCAGAGGCCAGTCCTAGCCCAGTCTGGGCCCTCCCTTGAGGTCACCAATGGGAGCTACAGTCTGCTAACTAGAGTGCTATAAAACCCTCCCACTTTCTGTAGGCCTTGTCTCAGTAATCCTGCTGCTGCTTTGGACCCTCATGCTTGACTCCAGTTAACCTTTTTTGTCTCAGACAGGCATATAGCCTTGATCAACTGTTTTACTTTGACCATGACTTTGTCTTGACCCTCGGTTTGATATTCTGAAACCCAGATTGATACTTGGCTTTGACCTCAGCAACTTACATTCTAGTAAACCATTGGCTCTGATCCTAGGGTGAACCACTAAGCCTGACTGCCTTACAGCTATGAGCTAATGCTCTAACCATCAAGATGAATTCTCCCCTCCTTACCCACCATAAGCCCAAGTACTAGAATCTCTGTTATACCTGCCCCTATTGTCACTGTGAATGGTATGTGCAGTGACATACTATGGCAGATTACTAATGTTGTGTAGCCTGAATAGTCTTATGAATTTTGACTTGAAAACTGTGATTCTGTGTATTAAAAGGTACAACCATTAAAAAAAGTTAAAATTCCAAAAAAGAAACAGAAACATCATTTTTTTGCAGCACACTTCCATTGCCCTTGCAGCACATTGGTGTCTTGTGGCACACTCTTTGGGAATCACTGATCTAGATAAATTAAGTCCTTCATATTAACCTTCAAGAAACCTCTTATCTTACCATAGAATGACAGTATATTTGCCTAACATGATCTTCCTCTGTCAATTTAATGTTGTGCTTTGTCTAGTTTTCCATCTTTTTCCGTGCCTGCTCTAAAACCTTACTTTTAAGTCAAGTTAATAGGCCTGCCAAAGACTTCTTCATCTTTCATATCCTTTTTCCCCAAGCAGAATGAGGTAAGTTATGAGGCACTTTCAGGGTTATATTTTCAGTCATTCACTACAGCTTGTATGGCCACTGCTCTGTTTCCACAAAGGGAAACATAAGCATACAACAGCAATTGTCCATCTATTTTTGCCAATTCAATCTCTGAGATTATTTACCTCAACCTGCAATTTAGGCACATAGATAAGGAACCTACTTTTCAGGGTTGCTGAATATTTATAATGAGCTAAGGGAGTTGCTGATATTCATTACCTTTTGAAAATCAAGACACTTTTACCTGATATAGTTCCCTATGAACTGTAACAATATCTCTTCTCTATAGGCTTTATATTTCAGAAGAAATGAGCTGAAATTGGCTCAATTCTGAGCAGGGATGTGGAATGAAACAAATTCACAGTCTTGGCCAAAACCCTGAAGAGATTATAACCCCAAAGAAATTCTTTAAATTTATGACCTATTCCCAGTTCATCAGAAGACCTAAATTTTGTAGTGGTATTAGGTAATCTTCAAGTTTAGGTGATGAATGCTCTGGTAAATTAGATAAAAGAGGTATTTGAACGCACATACAATCTTCAGTTTACTTTCTTCCTTCTTTTTGTAGAGTCTTAAAGAGCAGTCCCCAGTCCCCTATTCCCTGCCTCCTCTTGCACATACTTCTAACAAGGTACCGCTTTGTGGAGATTTGGCCCAATTCTGAATCGAATCAGGGAACCCTTTAATCTCTCCAAATCAAATTAGAACCCTCCAAATAGATTTGGAAAGATTCGGACATAGACACAGTTTTAAATGTTTTTTCTACATACCTCTAGGTAGCAGGGGCTTGTGAGTGCTGTGATGGTGGGGCAGATGGAACATCCCACAGAAGCGTGGGGTGCTCCCCAGTGCACTCAGCAGCAGACCCAGAAGTAGGCCAGAAGCACTTCCAGTCCACTTCTGGGTCCACTGGGGAGTGCACAGGGCC